ATGTAGCTGCGCTAGATTTCACTTTCCCTCTCTTCTTCTCCTTGGGCTACCAAGCCACGCTATCCAGGTACTAGAGTATGCCAACTGCTATCCGAGCAGAGCTACAATGGTCCTACTTACCACTCCAGCATGGTAGAAAATTTAGTTTAGGGAACGAGGATTCCATGAACAATGATACAATTTCGATCGATGGGGCAACGATTTTAAGGGCAAATTTCTCGGAAGATCCTATCTACTATGGCCATGAGGGTGCTTTGCTCTCCTGGCTATTGTTTTTGTCCGTCGATACGGTCGATATTGTGACCATGAACTGGGACGAAATCACCTGACACTATTCAATACTTCCTGTTTATTCATGTTGCTCTTTCACATCTTCACCTGACACAAAACAATACTTTACTGAGCGGGGCGGTCGGCAAACGCGCGAGGATTGAAATCCATTCATCGCAGTGAAATACAACCAAATAATTCATTGAGGCACCTGGCTTCTGTCAAACAGTCACCAGAGATCGCTGACACTACTACCTTGAAAGTTCTGCTGATATGAATGATTTTCTATGGATTCCTATACTTGAAAGTAATTCGTTCCATGAACTTTTTAGCGCGTGATAACCATGTCTCTGATACACAAGAAAAATCTCGCCAATATGCCCTTCACCAGTCGGTTAATATCATACCACGTATGAGTCGCCATAAACTTCAGGAGACATATTTTCCTGCTTGACTCTTTTTAACTTTGGATCACGCAAGTTGGTTCTGGTCACGCCATCGTACGCTAGCAATGTTCTTTGAGCTATTCCGGGATGCGCAGTAAATAAAAAAATCAATTAGTAACTTTGAATCGACCCCAGTCTACTGCTAAGTGCGCCTCAGAATGCCTTACTCAGTAACGCTTCATCCGATTCCTCTGTTGTAGTTTGAACCATGTCCAGTCAGTCTGGTGACTCAAACCGAATCCGAAGTTCGAAATATGACCACGTCTCTTGCCGGTTTCCGCTCTGCTATTCCAAACCCTCTCATCCACTCGTGATTTGCGGATGGCCGTGACGTTCTCTGTAAAATACCAGCTCACTTGTTCCAGCATACGACCTGACCGTCTGACAATATTCAAAAGTGCAGCTGCCTTTTTTATGTCACCACCACAGATATCAGTCCGAAATAGCTACTGACAAACTAGCCTCCATTTTCACTCGACATCTTACTGCAGGACTTGAATCCTAGACAAGGGTAAAGTTATCAGATCGAGGACTGGAATGGAGTATACTGCATTATGCTTTCATCCCGTGACGACTGCTAGCGGGACGTGGCGCTTGCCGCAGACCGAGTATATTTGTTTCTCCTCTTAGTTTGGCCTAGTCGAACACTCTGCTCTCTCCTAATTACTTCCCCGAAAGTTTGTTCCCACGCGTTACATGTACATTTTGCGTTCACTGAACATCACCGCCTTTTACATCACTTTAGGACATATGCCAAATTATTAGAGGTCTTCCAGGCAACAAATAGTGTTCGTTAATGTCACCCCATTCTTCCATTTCTACTTCATTGTATCGCAGACGTTATCATGGATTGTCGGGTTCTGCAGTACCCACCATCTTGGATTGCGACACGCAATCTTAATTGTTTCCTTGTAGAAACTCCGTGGTGTACTTGTTTAGACTTCTGCTTTGCGCCGTTGTTCACTGTTTTTCCTTTGGGTAGTCTCGCAATGCATGTGTTATGGTTGTTCCCGGGAGGAAAACTGGCTGCTCTATACAATTCTGATGATTTGCTTCTGTTTTTGACGTTCTTGAGACGATATACAATCGGTCTTGGATACACACTTATGTATCCTCCTCTCTTAGCATGAGCTTACCACCGTCAAATTACAACCAATAGCCATTTACACATTGCTCTACTCTTGACTCGGACGGATTGGGCTTTGGTGATCAATTCCTCTACTCTGGTGACGTTAGCAGCGACAGACACGTGATTGTTACAGGCAGTTCATTTGCTGTGATGGACAGGATTTGTTTCGCAAATCTTCGGCGCATTTTACATCTAGTAAATTTCCGCTGTCCGTATACTCCGTGGCTGCATAACTATTGAGACCCGTTTATCTCCGTGTGGTCCATTCATAGTAGCTTTGGAATCACTGCTAGCATCGGTTGGTATTGACATGCTCGCGGCCATTAGTTGTGCATGTGAGCATTGCGTGACGGCAGTCGGTTTAAGACAATTGAGTAAACTGATTTAATTTACACGTCTGTGTGTGCCTGTCCATCTATGACCGAATACAGATTTGTATTGCTTACTCAGCTTGGGGTAGCTAATGCTCGCGGTGGACGATCGTTGGCCTGATGGTTGGCGATTTCCACACCATCGTCTTCCAGGCCTGGCTTCACGCAACCCTAGGCGTAACAGGCAGCGTTTCACATTGGACATCAGCACATAGTTTGCAGTCGTCTGTTAGTGGGACCACCGGTCTACAGTCTATCTGATACTGAGTTACCCGTGGGGTTAGGTGGTGAAAGTCACGAGATAGCTACCTCACTGATACCATTTTAGGTTTGCGTGATAGTCAGCTGTTTGTAGCAGTGATTTGGACTCTTGATCTTGGACATTCTTTGAGTCGTTTTTATCAAAGCTTCCTTTCTCCCACTTTTCTTATTAACAGTTGAGTCTTCTGATTTGTACTTGTGTTTCTGAACTACCATGGTGCTGTTGTCGGTGGTGATGTTGATAATGTTCCCTTGTGTCTAAAACCTTGTTATGGTGCACGAGCCACTTGGACACGCTTGCTTTTCGGCAGTCGGAAACACGGTTACTGACCAACAGGATGATCGACTTCGGCCGATTATTCATTGATCTAGACGCGTTCCATCATGCCTCCCTGTCCTTGCATTACATCACTTTTTGTCGGGCTTCGCATGCATGGTAGTTGTCGATGAATGGTGTAAGTCCCAACGTGTATTCTGTTCTTTCCTGTGCTTATCCGAGTTTTACGCCTATCGAACAAGCGCTGTCACCATGCTCCAGTCGGGTTTACTTGGACACGTGCTACTCATTAGTAGTCAGCCATTTGTCCTAATTCTCAAAGCCTAAAGAGTACCGTTCACACGCCTGTGGCAGCTGCTTTAAGTCAGAACCCCATTCCTCTGTCGCTACTGCTACGCGGATCACTGTGCACGAAAAATCCGCAGTGAGGTAGTTGCGGTAGGTAATGCGTTGGCAGTTTTATGAAACAACCAATGGAGTTCATTCCTGGGTTTTGGGACCAACTAAGAGAGCCTATCGGAAGCTTGATAGCCGCGGACGCCGGGCTTCCCACTGAACAAAATGTCCAAACCGTTTGTCCCCAGATAAACCCCGTTTCATGCACTACACTAGTATAATGCCCATCTTTATAATACATCCATACGATCGGGATCCCTCGATGCATGTATCCAGAATTGGAGCAGGTGTCGGTTATCCCGATGTGCAACCCCAATGTCGTATGGTTTTACATGGTGCCACGTTGGATGCCACGTTTTGTGGCATTTCACAGTATGCTTGCAAAAGTTCTAATACGCTTTTCTGCCCCTTCGCATTACGTCAACGCATATTGATCTGGTCAAATTTGGTGTCTGACAAGCAGCGCCTCTTGGGTCCATGCCATGTCATAGCTGGTGTTGCTTCCTTCAGTTTCGCTGTAGCGGCCACTATCCTTCGAGTGTTTCGGTCTACCTCACCTTGTGTTAAACGATTACCGATCATACCACGTTGCTATCTTTGACTTGCGGTCTATTTAGCATTTATCATACACCTGTATATCAATTTGATTTTCTCGACGATATTATCCTTTTTGTAGTTTCCTCTTAATTTTCATGTATGTGATCATATTTTAATAGACAACCTCTTGAAAATCGTGATCAATGTTTTTATTTTTATTATCCGTTTGTGCTACACGTCTCGATCAAAATCGAGACGATTTTCTAACCTGCTCAACGTTTTCATTTATATCTTTTTTCTTGAGTTCTACCAGTATGCAGCTACGCGCGTGCTTTTACTACCGTATAAAGATTGCCTTCCTCAGATTTTACTTTCGCAGACCTCGTATTCTCTGGTTTGTAAGATTTTTTACTGCGCTCCTTCATTACTTCTTGGCCGTTTTCCAGTGCCTTCTCTAGACTACCAAATTCATGCTCTTTGTTAGGGGTCATAATGTCTCCGCACTAGATCTGCCGATAGCCGTCATTCAAATTTGACTCAGGTTTTATGATCGACCACGTGTTGCACCATACATGAGTTTTTACTGCGCCTGACGCGGATGCTGAACTTTCCGATATACGTGAATTGCGCGTTTATTGGACCTTTCACTTCCGGCCTGTGTTTCAATGGCAGTGCAAGGCTGGGCATGATCAACAACCGGGCACGAGATTTTTTCTAATGAGCATACTCTTTTGGCCTGTTTGTGAGCGCATGCTACTCGGTGCGAAGATGCTGGTCGTTGCTTTTGGTGACTTCTGCTTGGATTTCAAACTGTGGCAAACGATACCTGCTCTTAAGCTGCAGTCTTCTTATTGGCCTGCTTGTGAAACTATAAGTTTGTACTATAATGTTGTTATTGCTACAGTTAAAGTCAGTCAGGCCGTCGAAGCACCCGTTTTCAGCCAACTCTGGGTCACGCTTCCATCCTGATATTTGTTGTCACATTCAAATCCCGAGATCCATACTATTTCATATCCAGCTACTTTGATATCGTTTGTGTTATTCCGTAGTTCTGCTCTCGATATCCAACTTTCTTTGCCAGCTGTTTGACTGATCAAGACTGTGGCCCCATGGTTTGTTAGGATATCTGAGCGTTCCGATGAAGGCCACACTCATTCCTCACCTCCGATTTGAGTCAGATTTTACCACATTCCTGCACACACAGGTTTTTCATCAAAATAGTCATGTGCGCCTACCAACGGCGATGCTCATTTGTTGACTTATCTGCTCTTCCGTGAACCGTTTTCCAAATATCACCATTTATGTCTATGCAGCACATGTCCAACGAAAATCGTCTTCTAAAGTCCACTCTGGAACAGATGAAATCGGAGTTGGCCCAATTGCGTCAGACGAGCAGGATGCAGCAGCAAGAATCACAAGTAAAGTTTGCTACTCTTACGAGAGCACCTTTTTCACCCTCATTTCGAACACTAGTCTACCGCCCCTGGGGGCCATTGGTCCTCATTGTATTTTTCACATGTTGTACTTCGAAATCTTATTTGATTTATCGAAGTTCTCCTATCGCTAAATATTCTGTAGCTTATAAGTTAAACGTGTCGCTGTTGTCGAATTCATGTTGTTTACATTAGCCACAAATGCTTATCACCCAGCTGGGCAACTTAGGAGGGTCTGATGCTTTCTACAGAACATTCCCCTTTAAACATCCTCTCTCACTGTCATATACTCCCATGTTTCTTCTCAACTCAGTAACTGCGTAGTTAAAACGAGGCATCGATTGAATCACAGGGTACTGAGAAACCAGCGTAGTTCAATTTTCTTTGACCCTATATGGACTTTGTCCTATCTTACTTTGAGCTTCAATGACTCACGTTATTTCACCGATAACGTTCAACGCCAACCAGCGTGAGAATTGAATGACCGCTGCGATATAGAAGCAAATGTTGGTAGCTCAGGTTGTTCAGTTGGTTGTCTGATTGTTCGCTGAGCTCGGCAGGTTGACTGCAAACGTTTCGTCACCACTCGAGGTGACGAAACGTTTGCAGTCAACCTGCCGAGCTCAGCGAACAATCAGACAACCAACTGAATGACCGCTTTTCATCCCTGACTTGGGTTACATCATGCAGTCGAGCATCTCTGCGCTTCGAAGGCAGACGTGTGAGTGCACTGCCTCTCGATAACTGCTTTTTTCAACACATGGTTTACAAGGCCTCTGGTACACAAATTTGTGCAACTTGTGTGAACCCTGCGGAGCTATGGACCATGGAGGTCGACCGGATACCCTTTTGTTATCACACTAGATGTCGGTATCTACATCTTTTTATACGGCTTGCTGTGCGTTGTGTGGAGAGAGATTGCTTGCTTTGACATGCGGGAATCATTTCCTGCTGTTTGTCAAATTCAGGGTGTTTTCCAGTTCCCTTTGGATTCTCCTACGAAAAGCTTGCTCTTGTCTACCAGTCCACCTGCCTTGCGAACTACTGTCCTTATGAGTGAATCTCTGATGTACAACGCTTCGAAGATGGGAAATCGGATGTACCTCCTGCGTAATTGTTGCGCCAGTGAGGGGCACACGAATCCTGAGTCACACTAAAAAAATTCCTTTTTTCACTCCGGTTAGGACAAACATATCCACCCTATTTTAGCGCCCAGCCCAGTTTTCTTTTAGAAAAAGCAACTAAATTGTATATGACATTTGGCACGCTACGGGTCCCGCATTTGGCTGGATTTCGATTTCTTCCGTATTTGAACTCTCCTATATTGCGTTTAGTACTCCGTCTCCGAACTTTCATCTAGGAGACACTTAATTCCGCTAAAATTGCTTATACTTTTATAGCTTCATGTGTTCACAAGTTGCCTTTACTAAATGACATCATGGGAGAAGCTATCGAAAGGCGAATATTTGTGTGCTGAATGGTTACTCATGCGGCAAGTTAGGCGCTGCATAGCAAATCGGAGGTATACGATTTATGAGACACGACGTAACTTTAGTTTGCTCCTCCGAATGCATAACGCCATCGCTGCTTTGTGTGTAGGCTCGTCAAGGACCGGCACCAGTTGTTTTGCAGAGCTAAATTCATAGAAATATACAATATTGATGGACCAGTCAACCAGCACCTTCCTTATTGTGTGGTAGCTGTCGCGAATGTACTTGACATTTCAGTACTATTTTACCGCCCTACATTCGACACTTTCTATTATATGTAGGAACAGTAAAGTGCTATAAACGGTATTATTGCAATTCGTTACAACTCGAATCACTCAGATGTTAACTAGCATCGGGATTCTGATGACCGTCCGACGGACTAGTTGCGATGGATGTATGCATGGACTGGGTACTTTTATCGCGCTGAACGTTTTCTTTATCTTTGTCCTCTGTTGGCATCTGTCGCTTTTTCTGAAGATGCAACATCTGTGCCCCAACTGTATCACAAAAATTCTCTACACAATCGGGGGTTTTCATAGTTGCAAATTCCACCTCTTAGTTCCTATTTTCCTGCCCCTCGCTGTTATCTCTCCTGCACTTGTTGCGCTCTCATGTTTGCGTATTATTCACATCGACCAATGCAGCTGTTTTCGCTTCTTTGTGTTGCTTCTGTTGCGCATGATCCGAGTGTTAGGGGCCTCAGTAATTTCCTCACTCCCCTGCGTTGATCAGATGACGATGGGAAACATCGCAGATCACCGAAGCCTGTTCTACCGGATGTTGCGTGCAACGCAACTCACGGTGCAACTTCAATACATTATTACTTCACGGCGTTTCACTGGAGTACTCGCAGATCCACAGTGCCGAATTTGGTGTGGTACTTTTTGGTCAGCGTTGAATTGTGCGCTTTAAGGCGAGAAAAGTATTTGATTTCTGTAAAACATTCATATTACTCTTGGCGCAGATATCATCACTCTGCAGAAACCAGAACGCATGCCTACCGATCTTAGGTAACACTTCACGTCACGTGCTATTGACACCGCTTTCGAGTGCCTTGTTTATGGAGAGGGATATCCCCATCATGGATATTACGTTTTGAACACAGTTTTCCATCAAGAACATCACTTCATGAGTTTGTTCCTGACCCTAGAGTACTCAATCAGGAAGAAGCATTCTGTGCTTTTAGCATTGTACCTCGAAATCATGATTTTGTGCCTCTTGTTCTGCGTCAAGAGAACACGCTTGTCATCCGTGTTATCAAGGCGACGTAAGATTCCGAACAGAAGGCAATCATTAAACCTTTTCTTTCCAAGTTAACTTCGGTCAAGTCCAAAAGTATAGCTCCACCTTCCCTATGTCAATTTCTTGGCATATCCAACTATTTTTCTGAAGTGTCTGCTCTCTTTCAAAGGCAAGTTGATCAAGTCTTTGCAGATTAGTGTAGACGATTGAGCAATATCCCTGCTTTTAAACACACACGCTTTATGGAGCCGAACTTATGAATCAGCGGAACAGGAATATCGACAACTATATTCGACAACTATTTCGGCTGCAGAAAACAACGACCCCCACCAACTGGAACGTCGCCGGGGTTATCAGTCATCCTACGGAAAACGGGTCACATCGCTGCGTCCTGGAACGTTGGTCAGGATAAAGGAGAGGCAAACACGGAAAGGAGAACCGGCACTGACGAGACCCATCAGAATTACTCGTGCGCTAGGGCCAGGAACTTCTGAGTTAGCGGACGGCCGACGAGTCAACGCCAGACAGCTATAATCAGCACTTCAACCGAAGCAATATCCTGAAACGAGGGCCACCGCAGTGAACCAACCGCTGAAGAGAGGGGAGTAGTGTGGCAGCACGTACGCGCGCACTTCGTAGCTTGTGATTGGATGCCCGTCCGTTCGCGATCAATACCAGGGTTGTTTTGAATGTACTGAGTGTATGTACAGTTGGCGTGAATAGAAGTTTGTGTTCCGTACCAGTAGAGTTCTGCTTCCTCGTTCGGGGCTTTGGTCGTGCTTGTTCAAGACCCTGCGTGCAGGGGACTAGTGTACGTGTAGACACAACAGCGAGTACAATGCTTGGTGTCGTTCTCTGCACTTCTACTGCAACTGACGAGCCGCAAACACCATATCTATAGTGCTGCGAGCCGAACGGAATCTACAGTGCTCTTTCGCCACGTTAACTTCCACCACCTGACTAACGAGGCGGTTGAGCATGATTCGGGCAATAACCTTGCCCACACAACTCAGCAAGTTGATGCGATTAACATTTATTTTTGGCATTTGCATGCATGTCTCGAGGGATGAACTGTACAGCAATATGCCAAGAGAGGACGAATGTCCCGGCAGAATAGGAAACACTGACTGAAATTTAAAAAAAATTTCAAACAGTGGTCGGAACCGCGTCAATTGTCACCGTGTGGGATTGGGTGCATGTTATGTAAGGCGTGATAATGCACCACGCATGTAGGTGTCGTAGACCTTCAGAGTCAGACGAAGAGTAGAAACACAGAGGTCAGAAATATCAAGTGATGTCATCCTGAGTGCGGTAAGATGTTTGGCTGAGGTGGAACATATCATCCCTCGATTATTGATAACGACGGGGTGGTGAACAATATTTGTCGTTTCAGGAAACTGTTCACGTATGTATCGCGATATGGCTGCGGCATTCTCCCCTGATCCGTATTTATCCACTTTCAGTTTATAAGTACAATCCATTCGGTACGCGTCACAGATGGCCACATCCACAATGTGAACCGTAGAATTTCTAACCGCAAGCAAGTCTGGCTTGATGAAGGAGGTGGCTGTCGGAATCCTCGACTCCATAACAATGTTAATGCTTCGGCGCCGCAATTGCCTGGCAATCTGTTGGGCAATTTCATTGTGACGTTTACAGCGGACATCATGCGTGATGCAGCACGCCTGAAGAACATGTGACAGAGTCTCTTTTTGTCCGCAGCTCCCGCGGCAGTTGAGAGAAGTCGGGTCATTTGTAGATCTGCCTCTGCTCCGTCGCGTTTTGGTAGAAAGAACCCCCCCCCCCCGTAGTTGGACACCCCGTATGAAAAGACGTGGAAAAATCCTGGTGGGGTCCCTCAGCCAGTGGTGAGCGGAAGGTGACGTGACCACATTTCGCAAGGGAGAGCCATCCACTGAAGCAAAAGAGCATCTCTCCAGGCTTCCGCAGCTGAGCTTTTATCCATGACGACGCGATTACCGATGGTAACAGTGGAGCGCGCTAGACGATGGATGGCAGCGGCTGCAGGGTCCCGGATCGCCCAACTGGTCACTGGATGGCAGTTGGCTAGGTGTCGTTCCAGCCTCTCCTTCCGTAGCAGGGGAATACTCGTTGACAGACACGGAATACCCAAACCAAAGCTCGCAATGGGAGCGTGAAGATATGCAATGAGGTGTCTGACGGCAAGCGCAGCCATTTTCTGACGTGTGCTCGGACAATGCGATCCAACCGCTTCAGTGTATTCCGGTGAAC